AGGGGTAATTTGCTGGTGAAGGGGGAGAATATCCCACCAAACCCCTTTCTAGCTGTGAAACTCCATTTTACAGCTCTCAGAGCCATTACTGTGGGTGGCCACATGCACTGGGCAGCCCAGAGCCCCCCGTGTGCCAGGCTCACCCCGCAGCGTGGGCAGCCAGGGGACCCTGCCTCTCTCCCCCCTCTCAGCACACCCCGCCACAGGGCTGAACAGGGAGAAGGACAGGGAGCTTTGGAGCTCCAGAGGAGGCCACAAAGATGAGCTGGGAGAGCTGGGGGTGCTCAGCCTGGAGAAGGCTCTGGGGAGATCTAATTGTGACCTTTTAGTACTTTCAGGGAGCCACTATGAAAGATGGGGTCAGACACGTCAGCAGGGCCTGTTGTGGCAGGAGAAGGGTGGTGGTTGTAAACTGAAAGAATATAGATCTAAAGTAGATACAAAGATTTTGCTTTTTTTGCTGGGGGTGGGCAGGCCCTGGCACAGGGTGCCCAGAGCAGCTGGGGCTGCCCCTGGATCCCTGGAAGTGCCCAAGGCCAGGTTGGACGGGGCTTGGAGCAGCCTGGGACAGGGGAAGGTGTCCCTGCCCATGGCAGGGGTGGAACTGTGTGGTCTCTTCTAGCCCAAATCATTCTGTGATTCTAAGAACGAGGAAATGCACTGTGGGATTGTTGTGTGTATTCCTTTTCTTTGTGGTACCCAGGAGCTGCTGATGCCTTTGAAAAATACCTGTTGGAATCTGGACTCCGGCAAAATGAAAGCTGAAAGAGTGGAAGTTGTACAAAGAGAGGAAAGAATTGTTCATGGAATGCCAAGATTCAGCACTGCCTGTGTGTGTGCTCACCTGTGATGTCCTCAGTTGTGTTTTTATGACCACATTTATAAGGCTGGGGACTTCACTCATTGCCTTTGGCCACAGCTTGCCAAAAGTGACAGGTGACTTTCTCACCCCCAGTTAGAAAAGCTTGTAGTGCTTCAAGTGGTTTGCAGCTGGCCCAGGAAGCAATTATTTCTTTCCAACTATTAAATTTACTACAAAAAATAAGGTTATATTTCTGGCTGGCAATGAATAGCTGCTTGCTGTGCATTCTTGGTTTTGGAAATAAGGTGCCTGTGGCAAATCTGATGCAGGTATTGCAGGGGTAACTGGGATTTTGGAGTGCAGTAACCACAGCAGACCATCTCATGTGTTTCCTGCTGGATTCTGGAGATTGCTGTGTGGGGAGCACTGTCCAGAAGAGCAGGCTGGAGCTTGGAAAGAGACAGAAAAAAACCTGTTCCTGGGTTTGTTAGGGGAATCCATCATTGATCATTTTCTTTTCCAGGTCTGACTGTACAACTCAAAGGCACATCTTGGAGTTAAATAGATCACTGGATGTGGACAAGTGTTGAATTGGTCTGTTTAGTGTGTTTATAGAGTCACTTCTGGCCATAGAAAGGTCTATTTAATCTTAAAATGCTATGTTGAACTATGTTATGATTTAATGGTTTTTTGCATTGGCTTTCAGTACCGTTTAATGTCTACACCCAGCCAGGGAGTGAGCTGGAGGTGGCAGTACCTCCTGAGGAGCGTGTCCCACGCTGCTCTGAGAGGCCTCTTTGCTGGGATGGATGTCATTTGTGCCCTGTGGAATAGAGCTCCCACAGAGTCACAGCTGTGACACAGCACGCACGAGTTCTTCCTTGGCCCCTTGGTTTGGTTATACAAATCTCCTGTTGCTGCTCAAACATTCTTTTCATCATGGGTTTAATGCTGTCCTCATCTCAAAGGGGCCTCATTCAGTCTTTCACCACCCTCAGCCAAGGTAGCATCACAGATACTGCTGACTCTTCTAGAACTTGGAAAAAGTCATTTTACAGTCCATCAAATCTTCCCTTCTTTCAGCAATTCCTACAGGCTTTGGTTGGTTTCCTTTTGGGGACTTGCAGAGAATTTGAGCAATTAGCTTGGAAAACTATGATGTGTTTAGAGGTAGTTTGGCCATTAAGGTGTTAATTCTACCACTTGTTTTACCCATCAAGATAAACTTGGATTTTATGGGCCTTGGATGTGACAATAAGCTATCAAGCCAGGAAAATACAGTATCTGTTTTAAATTTACACAAGGCAGACAATATGTGGAGAAGCTAACTGATTTATTTCTGTTTCATCCCACTAACCTGTAATTGGGGTAAAATTTCCATTAGTCTCTAGGAGGACAATGGCTCTGTCACAGAGCATTCCTGGGACAGTCCCTACTCTTGAATTCCAGTAAGTTTTCAGTGGAGACATTTTGGTGTGTGACAGGTAAAAATGACATACTCCATCTTTGTCATGTGCATGTTTTATCATCTTGTGTGCTGATGACATTTCAGATGGGACCCTGGGGGGACTCCTGCACTGACAAACATCCCCTCAGTATAAATAACTGCTCAAACTAAATACATTGAAGCAAATATTTGGTGTACATATTTTGCTGATTTCTGCATCCTGTGTCAATACCTCATGCAATGTGATCTTTACCCAGAAAAGTCAAGTCACTAAGGCTAATAACAATTTCAGAGTACTTGATTATATGTATTCTCCGGTGTGATAGATGAACTGCAAAGAAAGCAAAGCCTCTTTCTAATAAATTCCAGTTACAAAGAAGACTTATTAATAAATCAAATTTAAAAATACTCTACAGATAGATGCTGTATTAAAAAGTATATGCATATATGCTAAAAAACAAATTCCCTTACAGTCATTGACAGCTTTTTTCCTTTTCCTTCGTTGCCTACATGTACCATCCTGTCTTGTCTGTGGGTCCTTGGGTGGATCTTGGCACTTTGATTCCCTTGTCTGAGAGCCCCAAGTTTGTGCCACATCTCCATCAATGACGTGGACGATGGGGCAGACGCCCTCAGAGGTGTCCAGGCACACAGGCCTGGGAGGAGTGGCTGATGTGCTGCTGTCCAGAGGGGTTGGGCCAGGCTGGACAGCTCAACAAGGAGGAGCACAGAGTCCTGTCCCCTGGGGAGGAGCAAACCCAGGACACTCCAGGGGACACCCAGCAGGGAGCCAGGAAAGGCCCTGGAGCACCTGGTGAACACCAAGCTGACCAAGAGTCACCAGGAGGTGAACTGTGCCCTGGGCTGTGTTGGGAACATTGTCACCAGCAGGCCAAGGAGGGGATCCCTCCTTGCTCATTACTGTGGAGCTCATCCCTGGACTGCTGTGTCCAGTTTGGGCTCCCCAGTGCTAGAGAGACAGGAGCACGCTGGAGAGAGTCAAGCATTAGGAAACATTTCTTTTTCTGGTTTTAATGGTGAGTGAGGGTTGCTGAGCATCAGGACAGGTTGCCCAGGGAAGTGGTGGTTTCCCTCCTTGGAGATGTCAAAAGCTGCCTGGATGTGGTCCTGGGCAAGCAGGTCCAGATGGATGGCTTCCAGAGATCCCTGCTGACCTCAACCATTCTGAGGTTCTGCAAAGCTGGAGTAGGAGCTGCAGTCGAGAGCAGCTGCTTGTTGGATTTCTGGCTCTTCTTCCTTCCCTTTGCTCCCACTCCCCTTGACCATGGTAAAATATAATTTTTATGACCAGCTGCACTTCCTGGTATGCAAATTATCTCGTTTCCACATAAGAAGTAGTGTGATTATTGGTATGTTTTTAGTATCAATCAACAACAGCTTGTTATAGTTATGAGAATTTTGAAACAATCTGAGTTTTGAAACTACTTAGTAAAAGAAGGAGCCACATTCTAAATTCCATTATAATGTATTGTTGTTCCTTCTCATCTTCTTTTTCATAATAACTGAGTGGCTTCCAGATTCCTGACCCAAGAAATCTGACTAAAGACACACATATATTTACAAGAATTCAAGCTTATATCAGACATGTCAATTGATGTGCCTTATAAAATGCAAGGAACACAATGACATTCTGTCATTATTAGGGCTCTTTCTTAGATTAATCTGACAACTATATATATATATAATCTAGTATGAACAAAAATTTCTGTCAATATCTGACCTTAGTTTAGAGTTCTGGGCTTTAGACTGATAATTAGAACTAAAAAAAAACACCTTTATATGACTTGAGCCCCTCTGGAGTGTCATCTGTGTCATCTTTTTCTGCCTGGAAGATGTTTGGAGCCCTCAGCTGTGTTTAGAAATAAATTAGGAAGCAACTGTCTTCTCAAACAGACCTGCACAGGGGATTAGAAAATTCTTGATTTGGATTAGAAATTTATGGCTAGAAAAAATCTGGTTGTGAAAACTAAAGAGCACTGGAAGGGATCCTGGTGCAGGCAGGTGGAGAGAACACAGGAGATGTGGGTTAGGCCTCAAGTGCTCCTGTGTTAACAAAGAATAGCAGTGGGATAAAGGGAAATGGCTAAAAACAAGGAAGAAGCACAGAAGAAAAAGGAGCGTAAGGGAGCAGGGGAGAGACACTGTAGGTAGAGAACAGAGGAGGTAAAAAGCAAGAGCTGGAGTCTGGTAGATAAAAAGTCCTTGATGTCAGGGACATTTTCTGGGTCTGCTCCCTCCTTGCTCTCCTGGGAGTTTAACCAAGAAGGGTTTTCCTCCTGTACCTCAAATTTAAGGCAAAGAGCTTTCAGAACAAGAGAAAGAAATCTTCTGTTGCCTTGAGCTTCAGCCATCTCTTTCTGAGCCTTTAAGTGTTGATACAGCACGTGATGTATTTTTTCCCCTGGTTTCTGCAGCACTTGGACATTCTCACCTGAATTCACCCTTGGAGATGGTTCTGGAAGTTCCTCCAGCAAGAAAGGGCAAAGAAAGGGATTGATTGCTTGGAGTGGTTTGCTTCAAGATATACATGTGGGATATACATTCATCTTTTATTGATCATTCCTTTCTTCCTCAAAGTCCCAGATATATCTTCCTGCTTTTGGGATCTGTACATGCAGCGTCCTTGGCAGCAGGAGAAGAAGGGCTGAGGAGTTGATTCCTACAGATATGGTGGGGGGGGGGGGGGG